CCACCAATTCCCAATAGTCAAGTGTACTTATAAAATCACTGATAGAAAGATCTCCACTTTCTAAGGCCCTTCCTTTGATTAAAAACTTATCTATGACTCAATCTTTATAACTTCCTTCTGGAAATCACCTGCCTTTAAAAACTGTCTGCATCTGTAAATAGAGAGCTTTACTTTCTCTTTGCCAAAATGGATGCCTTTTATTTCTATTTCTTGCCTTACTGCCCTCATTAGAACTTACAATACACTGTTAAATAGAAGTGGTGATAGAGGGCATCCTTGTCTGGGTTCCTGTTTGTAAGGGGAATGCTTTGAGTCTTTCTCCGTTAACAATAATGTTGGCCATTGGCTTTGCACATACGCCCTTTATTATGTTGAGAAATTTCCTGTCTATCCCTATTTTGCTGAGAGTTCTGAACAAGAATGAGTGTTGGATTTTATCACATGCCTTTTCTGTGTTGACTGATATGATCATATGATTTTTTTGTTTTGTTTATGTGGTGGATTACACTGATTGTTTTTCCGATGTTGAACCATCCTTGCATATCAGGTATGAATCCCACTTGGTCAGGATGTATTATTTTTTTGACACATTGTTAGATTATATTGGCTAGGATTCTGTTGAAGATTTTTACATTTATATTCATGTGTGATACTGGTCTGTAGTATTCCTTTTTAGCGGTGTCTTTCCCTGGTTGTGGTATCAGTGCTATGCTTGCTTCATAAAATGAGTTTGGAAGTATTCCATCTTTTTCTGTGTTCTGGAATAGCTTGAGTAGCATAGGTGTTAACTCTTCCCTGAATGTTTGGTAGAATTCTCCAGGGAAGCCATCAGGGCCAGGATTTTTTCTTGTGGGAATTTTTTTTTTTTTTTTTAATGACCTGTTCCATTTCTTCCTTTGTTATGGGCCTGTTCAAATATTCTATCTCTGACTGGGATAGTTTAGTCAGGTCTTGTCTTTCTAGAAACTTGTCCATCTCTTCTAGGGCTCAAATATATTGGAGCACAGTTCTTCCTAATACTCTGCTAGTACTTTTTTTTAAATTTATTTCAGTTAGTTCTATTGTGATGTCACCCTTTTTCTTTATTATTCTTGTTATTTGCATCTTCTCTTTCTTTTGTTATATTTGCCAATGGTTTATCAATTTTGTTAAACTTTTCAAAGAACCAGCTTCTTGTGTTGTTGATTTTCTCTCTCTCTCTTTTTTTTTTTTTTTGTTTTGTTTTCCTGTTTCATTTACTTCTGCTCTGATCTTTATTATTTCCTTACTTCTGGATACTGTAGGTTTCTTTTGCTGCTCTTTTTCTAATTGTTGGAGTTGTTAAGTTAGAGTGTTGATTTTTGTTTCTTTCCTCTTTTTTGATGTATGCATTTATAGCTATAAATTGACCTGTGAGTACTGCTTTCACTGTGTCCCATAGGTTTTGGTAAGATGTATCTTCATTCTCATTTGTTTCTAATGATTTTTTTATTTCACACTCTATTTCTTCTATTACTCAGTAGTTTTTGAGCAGTGTATTATTCGCCTTCCACGTTTGATGTTTTTTCCTTGATCTTCCTATTATTAATTTCTAATTTTATAGCATTGTGGCCTGAGAAGATGCTTTGTAATATTTCAATATTTTTGAATTTACTGAGGTTGTTTTTATCTCCTAACATGTGATTGATTCTGGAGAATGATCCATGTGTACTAGAGAAAACTACTGGAACTAATAGAGAGGTTCAGCAAAGTGGCAGGATACTAGGTCAACATACAAAAATCAGTTGGATTCCTCTACATCAACAAAGAGGCCTCTGGAAAAGAAATAAAGGAAACAATACAATTTAAAATAGCTACCAAAAGGATAAAATATCTAGGAATAAATCTTATCAGAGAAACAAAAGACCTATATGAAGAAAACTATAAAGCACTACTACAAGAAACTACAAGGGATCTACATAAATGGAAGAAACTGCCTAGTTCATGGATAGGAAGACTGAGTATCATGAAAATGTCAATATTACCCAAAGCAATCTACACATTTAATGCAATCATGATCCAAATACCAACAATATTTTTTAAGAATATGGAAAAACCAATTACTTCATATTGAAAGGAAAGAGACCTTGGATAAGCAGAGAACTACTGAAGAAGAAGAACAAAGTAGGAGGTCTCACACTCCCAGATCTCAAAACCTGTGATACAGCCACAGTAGTCAAAACAGCATGGTATTGGTAGAGTGATAGACAGGTAAACCAATGGAACAGAATAGAAAACCCAGAAACAGATCCATCCATCTATGGACAGCTGATCTTTGACAAAGGTCCCAAACCCATTAAATGGGGAAGAGATAGCCTCTTTAACAAATGGTGCTGGCAACACTGGATATCCACCTGCAGAAAAATGAAACAGGACCCATACCTCGCCCCATACACAAAAACAAACTCAAGTTGGATCAAAGACTTAAATGTAAAACCCAAAACTATAAAGTTCATCAAAGATAAAATAGGGGCAAATCTAGGAGCCCTAATTAATGGCATAAATAGACTATCAAACATAACCCAGGATGTGCAGGAGGTGGAAGAGGAGGTAAATGACTGAGACCTTTTAAAAATGAAATTCTTATGAGCATCAAAAGACTTCACCAAAAGGGTAAAAAGAGAACCTACAGATTGAGAGAAAATATTTGCCTATGACATATCTGACAAAGGACTTATCTCCAAAATTTATAGAAAACTTTAACACCTCAACACCAAAAAGACAATCCAATTCAAAAAACGGGCAAGGGACATGAACAGACACGTCACTACAGACAATATGCTGGTGGCCAACAAACACATGAGGAATTGCTCACAATCATTAGCCATCAGAGAGATGCAAATCAAAACAATAATGAGATATCATCTCACTCCAGCAATAATAGCAAAGTTCAACAGGACAGAAAATAACAAATGCGGGTAAGGTTGCGGAGAGATTAAAACTCTCATACACTCCTGGTGGGACTGCAAAATGGTACAACCATTGTGGCAAATGGTATGGTATTTCCTTAAAAAACTGAAAATAGAAATACCATTTGAACCAGAAATTCCATTACTAGAAATATATCCTAAAGATGAGAGGACAGGACACGAACAGATATATACACACCCATATTCATTGTGGCTTAATTCACCATAGCAAAGAGATGGAAACAACCTAAATGCCCATCAACGGATGAATGGAAAACCAAATTATGGTACATTCACACAGCATTTGCAGAGGGGGAAAGCTAGACAAACAAGAATGTGTAGGTAACAAGGACACAGGGAAGGGGTAACCAGAGGGAAGAGATGAGAGGAGAGTTGTGAAACAAAATGTGTAAGAAATGTTGAGCATAAAACGACTCTGCTTTGTAAATCTACACCTAAATCACAAAAAATATTAAAAAAAGAAAAATGACTTGAATTTGTAGTGACTACTTTTTCATCTTTGTTTGCTGTCTTTCATGTTACTATTTTTCATTTTGTTAGTAATTTTCTTGTACCAGTTAATATGGATACAGGCAGTTCCTGAAGGAACTTATAATCTTGCAAATTTTATACACAGAATAATTCTACTATAATAATGTAGTATTATAATAGGGGGATGTAAAGTCACTTTTTAATAGTCTTATGTTGTAAAAATTGAATTCCATAATATAAAAAATTGAGTATATGATTCCATGGTGTAATCTGAAATACTCTGCCAAAGACAGGTAATGTAACAGCACAGTAACATACCAACAGTGCTGGATTATTTATCCTCACTTCATTCAACTAATATTTATTAAGTCCTACTATGTGACAGGCACTTCTCTCCTTTTTCAGTTTTGTTGCCTCCCAAGTCAGAGGAATTTCTCCCAAGCCTGAGGATCCGCTGGCTCCATACTTCCAGCACTAATACATTTGCTCCCCTCCTCTAGGTTTCTGAATGTTTACAACATTCTAAAAGACTGCATAAAATGTGATGCTTCATCAGTAGCACTGTAGTATAACAAGATGGTATCTGCCTTTCAAATTTCTCCTTTTCACAATATTAAAATAAATTCAATTAGCTTTCTCAATTAGGTAAAGTAAAACATCTGCATATTGAATTTATTTTTAATAAGAGATTCTTGTGTGGACTTAGATTATAATTGTTGTTGTTGATATGTGCCATCGAGTTAGACCCGACACATAGCGACCCCCCTCCTTGGGTTTCCGAGGCAGTATCACTACGGAAGTAGATTGCCCAACCTTCCTTCCGAGAAGTGGCTGATGGATTTGAACCTCCAGCCTTCTGGTTAGCAGTCAAATGCCTTAGGCACTATGCTACCAGAGCTCCTTATAATTAGTAATTAATTATCTAGGGAGTAAATATAGAAAAGGGAGCTCTGGTAGCATAGTGGCTAAGACACTTGCCTGCTAACCAGACGACTGGCGGTTCAAACCCACCAGCCACTCCTCGGAAGGAAGGTTGGGCAATCCTACTTCCGTAGTGATACTGCCTCGGAAACCCAAGGAGGGGTCGCTATGAGTCAGGTATGACTCGATGGCACATAACAACAACAACAACAACAACAAGATATCCTTTGGAAATTATTATTTTATGTTGTCCTGGCTTAAAGTTTATAGGTTTAGTTCTTCAGAAATGCAGAAATATTCTATCTGTTCTAGCAACAAAAGACCAATGGTATTGGGGCATCTTCTCTTTCCTCCTAGCAGCATGTTTCTGCCATCTGGTCAGTCAGTCAGGGGCACTCACATAGATCTTTAAAATGGTCACATCCTATATTAATGTTATGGAGTAAAAAAATCAGCATACTAAATAAAGAGTAAGGACAATAATTAGAAATAAAATATTTTGATCATCTCCAAAATTCCATCGAGAGGCAGGAACATACTGTATCACAAAATCATTTCAGTAATTGTTTTATAAGCTTTCATTTTGCCCTCTCAAGCTTCTCGAATTTTATCCTTGAAAACCCTAAGCCAAAGCAGGCTATAACCCCTACAGGTACATACATGATGCTGAAGTTCAATGTTACCATTGTCAATTTCATTGCCTATCTTCAAAAGCCATTGTTGAATCATGTTAAATATCTGTGTTTGGAGTACCCTGAAGGAAAAAACATCAAGTTAAATAAAGGTAACTCACTTACTTAGGGTATAAAAGTAACAATCAGCTAAAAGAAAAGGATTTATTTGGCTGAGACTAGTAAACTGAGGTATTGATAATTATTTCAGAACTGAGGGCAAGGTGAATTGAAGCCCGGAATTATCTGGTACAACAGATTACTCTCTAACACAGCCAATTAAATACCAACTGGCAATGATGCACTTTGGTCAATGTTGATCTTACCTTCAATATTAACTTTCTCTGTCTACTTAAAAACTTACACCCTTTGCATTCACTTCTCATATTGAGAAGAAGGAACTTTAAGATTCTTTTAAGAGATTGACTTTTGGCATGACAGCACAAGACGCTCTGCTGACCCTCTCCTTAACGAAACTGGTCAAAGTTATTTTTTAAAAACCAACCATTTAAAGCCTCTGGAAATGGACCTAAGGGAAAGCAGCCAAGGAGAAACATTTATTCAAGCAACTCTATGAAGATTTTCTAATAAAAGGTAAGAAGCTGTGGTAGTTGAACCAAGACTGCTCCCTCCCTGGCACTTGACAGCACAGTGGTTTGGGAATGCCACTCCAGATTGCCTTAGTCAAAACCACAGAGGGCCCTCTTCCCTCTGCTACCAGTAAAAGGGCTTTCTTGGAGAAGCAGATTGTCAGTGTTCTTCATCCTGCCCCCAGCTACTTATTGCTGACAGTGCAGTTGAGATGTGGGGCTCCCTTCTTTAATGCAGCCCCTATTCATGGAATGGAAACTCTTGAGCAGGGCACAGAGACATACTGGGGACCTGATAGCTATTCCCCTAACTTATAAGGCAGTGGTTCCATACTAGGAAAGGCAAGCCGAGAGGACCTCAAACTGCTGTCCTGCCTTTCAACCAAGCTCTCAGCTCCTACAGCAGGAGTGTCACTCAGACAGACACCGTTAGCTGACACTGTCCCCAACCTCAGCTCCAGAGCTCTGGCTCAGATATTTTGCCAGGGGAGAAACCAAATCAAACCAAATCTGTTGCCACTGAGTCAATTCTGACTCATACAGACCCTAAAGGGCAGATTAGAACTGATTGATAGTGTTTGCAAGATTATAATCTTTGTGGAAGCAGACTGCCACAGGTTCTTCCCAAAGAGGGAAGAGGGGACAGTGGGTTTGAACTGCTGACCTTTTGATTAGCAGCTGAGCACTTAACCACTGCACCACTGGGGTTCCTTCTGGGGAGAGAAGCAGGCCATAAAACAGATACTCCCAATCTTTTCCTAAAGAAACTGACTTCATTTCCAGCAGAGAGTGGAAAACTTCAAACTTAAGAGTGCTCTCAAGAATAGTGAAGGTTGTGGTGAAGGCAATTAAGAGGATATTTAAGATACAGGCTAAAATGTAGGCCAGCTAGTTTGCAGGAGATAACCAAGGAATAAGACAGTTGGGTCTTAAGAATGAAGGCTATATTTTCAACAAACAGTGCTGGGACAACTGGATAGCTACACATGAAAGGATAAAGTTGGACCCTTTCCTCAACCAATATACAAAAATTAACTCAAAAAGTATCAAAGACTTAAATGTAAGGGCTAAAACTATGAAACTCTTAGTGGGGAGAAAAAAAGGAGTAAATCTTGATGGCCTTGGATTTGGCAATGGACTCTTAGATATGACACCCAAAGCACAAGTGACAAAATAAAAAAATTGATTAATTGGAATTCATCAAAATTAAAAACTTTTGTGCTTCAAAGGATACCCCCCAAAAAAGTGAAAAGACAACCCACAGAATGGGAAAAAATATCTGCAAACTATGTATCTAATAAGGGACTTGTATCCCAGGCAATGGTAGAATTATTATTTTTATTAATTTTTTTGCAATTTGGGTAAAAGTTTACAGAGCAAATTCATTTACTATACAGCAGTTCCTACACATGTTGTTCCATGACATTTATTGCAATTCCCACACTGTAACAACTCTCTTCCCACTTCCTCCCCTTAGTTACCTCTTCCCTGTGTCCTTCCCTCCCATGCACTCCAGCCTCCCTACCCAGCTGTCTCCCCATGAAAACACTGCCCTTCTCTTGTCCCATGATTGATTGCTCCAAGGATTATATCTACCTGATGTAAATGTTCACCCCACATGCCTGTGTATTGTTTGGCTGGAAGCCACAGGAATGAGTTCAGTTTCAGACTTGAAGGGAACTAGAGCCCATAGTCTCAGGGGTCTCACCAGGTTCTATCAGACCACCAAACCTGATCATGTTTTTTTTTTTTTTTTATGATTTTTGAGTTTCATTTCACATTGTTCCCCTACTCTATCCTGGATCTCCTGCACCAATCCCCCTCTGAGTGGCTGACAATGGTAACCAGGCACCATCTAGTTCTTCTGGTCTCATGGTCATGGATTGACACGGTGGCTGCGACAATGGGCTCAAGTATAACAAGGATCATGGAGCTGGCACAGGATCAGGCGGTGTTTTGTTCTGCTGTGCATAGGGTCACTATGAGTCGGAAACGACTTGATGGCACCTAACAATAACAAAAACATGGTCATATAGGTTGAGGATCACGTGGTCTACTAGTCCCTTGCAGTAATTGTTTCCATGTGTCTTCGGTTTTCTTCATTATTCTTTGCTTTGGATGAGAAGAGAGCCATCGTTGCATCTAGATGGCCCCTTGCAAGCTTTTAAAACACTAGTCACTACTGACCAAAGTAGGATATAGACCGATATTTTTGTGTAATATGTTATATCAATTGAGCTTGATGTTCCCCTGTGACCATGGTCCTGATGGCTTACTCCCTTAGGTCCAACAGGTCCAACGACTTGCTCCCTTAGGGTAGCTGGCTGTGGCCGAGAAGTCACCACAACTTTGTCCCTTGTCAGCTCTACTATACACTTGGACATTCTTACAGCACATACAAGTAAGCACGTAGAAACATCTTTTGCCAGCCCTATACATGGTCATGGGCACACTCCCCCATGCCTAGACATTCCTAATCATTCAGCCTATCCACCCATCTATCCACCAGTTCATCAATGCTTGCCGTCATTGACAATGCAGTACTGTACATGAAAAAGGGTTCATCTTTGTTGTCTGTACCTCCCATGTACCTCTCTCTGTCTTCTTCTTCCTCAATGCCACCATCTTGATCACTCACTTTTGGTACTTTGCTCTTTCATTCACTCAAATCAATACTTGTCTCTAACCATCTGTGTTCCCTCCCCTCCCCTGCCACCCCTGGTAACCAACAAAGAAAGTTTCCTAACATATATAAACCTTTCCTTGACTTTTTACAATATTGAGTTAATACAGTATATGTCCTTCTATAATTGACTTATTTCACTCAGCATAATGTCCTCCAAGTTTATCCCTATGTGGTGTTTTGCAAATTCTACATTATTCTTTAGGGTTGCGCAGTATTCCATTGTGTATATGTACCACAGTTTGGTTATCCATTCTTCTGTTGATGGGCACTTAGGTTGTTTCCATCTCTTTGCTATTGCAAATAGTGCTGTGATGAACTTAGATGTGCATATATCTGTTCCTGTCCTGCCTCTCACTTCTTTAACCTAGTAATGGGATTGCTGGATCAAATGATATTTCTAATTCCAACTTTTTAAGGAATTGCCATACTGCTCTCCACAGTGGTTGTATCATTTTACAGTCTCACCAGCAATGTATGAGAGTCTCAATCTCTCCACATCCTTGCCATCATTTGTTATTTTCTGTCTTCCTGAACTTTGCTATTAGTGCTGAGGCAAGATGGTATCTCATTGGTGTTTTGATTTGCATCTCTCTAATGGGAGCTCTGATAGCGCAGTGCCTAAGGCATTTGACTGCTAACCACAAGGCTGGCAGTTCAAACCCACCAGCCACTCCTCAGAAGGAAGGTTGAGCAATCTACTTCCATAGTGATACTGCCTCAGAAACCCAAGGAGGGGTTGCTATGAGTCGGAGATGACTCGACAGCACATAACAACAACTATAACAATGGC